GCAATGCTAATTAATTAGTCCACGACTAGTTGCTGTGATATCTTCAGGTGTAATAAATACGGCTTCCACCTGAAGAAATTAAAATACGTATAATTTTAATAATCACATAAAGAGATTACTTTTTTATCCTATTCTATTGCCACACGCGCTAAAGTTGTCGCAATGCTACTTTATTTACCTTGCGAATGGTGACATTTCGAAAGCAATTTTAACATACGAATATATTTAAATTTATTTTTATGACCATGGTTTCCATCACCATGGCAGAGCGCTTCTAAAGAACATTGAAACTTCTATTCGGTAATAACCATAATATAACGCAATTTTTTAACGTTGCAAGAAATATTATTGATCTGGTCATTAAAAAAAGATTGTGAAAACTTAAAACAAACAGATCGATATCTTGTGGGTCAAAAGTAGTTGGTGCATATATTTTTTTTGCAATGTTGTTTTAATTATAAAGACAACAATCAATTTTAATACACTTTTTTATAGTAGCAGTCAAAGCTACTTGCGGATTAGTGATTAAAAATAGGGTAAAGGTCTAGATGATGGCCCTCACCCCCTTCGGGGTTGGGATGGGGGGGATCGTAAGAGGAGGTCTCCCTACCACTATACCATAAAAAGTTCGTTGAGGTCTCACCCCCATAAAAAGTTATAGGGGTTCAAAGTTAATAAATATGCCAATTTTTATACATTTCTAGGCATGGAAATATTTATATAGTCATTCTTAAACAATATTCAAAGGTAAAACTAATGGAAAAATATTGAGAAAGTTATATAAAACATTATTTAAATATCTTTATCAATAGGTTAGGTTAGGTTATCGGGTTTTGTTCAAGTGACCACCCTCTTTCGATCCCCCACCTCCACTCGCTTGATAATATTTTTTTTATTGAATTTTATTTGAATTATAGTGTATGAAAATTGTCAAAATAACCAACTTTCAACCCCCATAACTTTTTATGGGGGTGAGACCGCCGCAAANAAAATAATAAAATAAGAAATTCAAATATCATTTTATTTTTAAATGTATTTTTTGAGTTTGAATGGTTATTAACCATTAAAATTTTTCAAAAAGACGGATATTTATTAAATGAAATTTTAAAGTATTATTATAAACAAGTGAATTAGTCTACGAGTAAGCAAAAAACTATATTTGAAATGGTGTCTAGGTGATAATGGTATTTGATATCTTCGTATAAAAACCAAATTAAAATTACATTAATTTATTTACCTGCTTAATATTTTATATAAAATTAAAGATTTCCTTGACTTAATAGTTATTTAATATCTAAATCGTTTTTTATTAATGATTTAGAAAGTTATTTAAATCTTTTGCTTAATTTTGGGTTTTTTTATTTAAAAACTATATCGTATCGTCAATCAACAAGAATTAGACAACCCATCTAACTCCATCAATATTTCTGGATTAAGTTATAAAAAATACATTTTTTATGCATTCCTTTAATTGATACAAAACTGCATTTCTACATTTATGATGCATTTACCGTGTTCTTTCTTATGCATCTATATTTCAAACTAACAATAAATCAATGAAATATTAGTTTCATAATAATTTAATTTTTTTGTAAATTTAATGCCTTAAAATAACCAACCAGTGTAACTATTTTGTATATTTACACTAGCTGTTTATTATTAAACTACAGACAGACAAGATACAATAGAGAGGTCAAGTAACGACAGTAATTACAGTAACACAGTTATTTATTCCACTGACCTTGTCATTGAACTTTATTAGCAAATAAAAGCAGTACTTCCTCTGATATTATAATTAAAGTGCCTTTCCTATATATCATATTTTTCTGTGGCAACCACATTAGAAAAACAGAAAAAACCAAAAATCATTTTTATAAGAGCGTCGTCCGTCTTACCATACTTGATTAGGTTTTACCATTTTATACCACTACACCAGCTAAAAGATTTTCCACATCAAAAACTTTTTTGTATAGTTTCACATTAAATGCTCATTTTAAAACACGTTTATAGTTTTTAAATCGTAATGGAATGATACAAATTGTTATAGTGCGTTAATTTATTTATTTCCACATAAGTATTCAAGCATACAATAAAATAATATGATTGCAATACTTTAAATGTAAAAGTTCACAAAATTTTCTAGGTTTATATATTAAGGTTACAACATAAAGATAACATTGTAAGGGTCTTCATAGTTAATACTATTTTTAAAGAGAACACAAGAATAAATGACTATTTAGTATAAATTACTGTTAAATTTTCATTAAAAACACAATTTTATAAATTACTATTTTACAACATACTTTTTTAAAACTCTTTAAAACTACATTTGTAAAATGTAAAAATATATGCGCCTACTGAAAAAATAAATAACGTAATAAATAGTAGATAATGTGCGTAAAATTCTACACGGTTTGTGTGGCATTTCTCATTCATACATGTCTAAATATACAAATTGTTTATTTCCTGTTTTTTACATGTAGGTACATACCTCTCCTTCTTCCTTATGTAGAAATTTAAATAATTATATTAANCTGATTCGTGATAAGAAGTTTAATGATTAATTTTTACATTGAATTTATTATTAATGATCTTTATTGTCTATTGTTTCATGCAGTATAAATTTTTTTGTTGTTCTATTTCAATTATTTCCGTATTAGATACGCAGTTTTTAAGTTTTTTTATTTGAGGAAAAGTTTAGACTAAATTCATATTTACCATTTTGTACTTCTAGTACACTAATTTAAATTATCAAGTAAAAACTGTTTCTTAATAATTGTTACTGAATTTATTTATAAACTTAGTATTTGTGAAAGAAAATTTTCCAAAAATTGTTAGGCATTATCACTTAGTATATACGACAAACTATTTAAAACTAAAAACCCACCAATGAATCAAATATTCCTAAAATAATAATTCAAACCCCTTCAAAAAAAATAATTTTAAAATAGAATAATCTCACCTGTCAATAAGTGATTAAACAAAATTGTGCGCTGTATCCTAATTAATAAAAAATTAATTGTCACCCTATTGTCACTTGACCATCACAGAAGATAATAACACTTTAGTGTCAAAGGTTTGCCATCGAGAGATTTTCATTCCCACTCTTATTATTCAATTTCACCATTACCCGCCAACGGTACCCCCACACAACAACAGAATCACTAATATTTTTCGCCCCTCCGTACTTTCCGCTGGTCTCTCTTCTTCGGTAAATCACCGAGCGATACAGCGCGCAGCGCAAGTCAGTTAATGCTAAACAATTTTTTAAAGCCGCGTCTAATTAGTTAGGACCTTTAGCTAGATGTAATCCATTCTTTTCGATGCGACCTACTTCCACAAGAAACATTGCGAACAAAGGCATGGATGCTTCCGAAACATATTTAGTAAAAATCCAGGGCCGTTCGCATAAAATCTACTCTTGAAACTTTTAAGTGAAAGTAACTGATCAATGATAATAAAAATTCTTTTAATTGAGCTAAGTTAAGTACGTAAAAGTTTATTTATTGGCTTATACTGTTTTACTAAATTATTTACATGTATATGGGGATGTTTTTCAATATTCGTTTCCAGAGCACCGTCTTAAAAAAATTAGAGAACAGACATAAAAATCTGAACAAAAGCTTTTCACTTTTTGCAGACTACAAAAGTTCATTAAAAAATAATAAAATAAGAAATTCAAATATCATTTTATTTTTAAATGTATTTTTTGAGTTTGAATGGTTATTAACCATTAAAATTTTTCAAAAAGACGGATATTTATTAAATGAAATTTTAAAGTATTATTATAAACAAGTGAATTAGTCTACGAGTAAGCAAAAAACTATATTTGAAATGGTGTCTAGGTGATAATGGTATTTGATATCTTCGTATAAAAACCAAATTAAAATTACATTAATTTATTTACCTGCTTAATATTTTATATAAAATTAAAGATTTCCTTGACTTAATAGTTATTTAATATCTAAATCGTTTTTTATTAATGATTTAGAAAGTTATTTAAATCTTTTGCTTAATTTTGGGTTTTTTTATTTAAAAACTATATCGTATCGTCAATCAACAAGAATTAGACAACCCATCTAACTCCATCAATATTTCTGGATTAAGTTATAAAAAATACATTTTTTATGCATTCCTTTAATTGATACAAAACTGCATTTCTACATTTATGATGCATTTACCGTGTTCTTTCTTATGCATCTATATTTCAAACTAACAATAAATCAATGAAATATTAGTTTCATAATAATTTAATTTTTTTGTAAATTTAATGCCTTAAAATAACCAACCAGTGTAACTATTTTGTATATTTACACTAGCTGTTTATTATTAAACTACAGACAGACAAGATACAATAGAGAGGTCAAGTAACGACAGTAATTACAGTAACACAGTTATTTATTCCACTGACCTTGTCATTGAACTTTATTAGCAAATAAAAGCAGTACTTCCTCTGATATTATAATTAAAGTGCCTTTCCTATATATCATATTTTTCTGTGGCAACCACATTAGAAAAACAGAAAAAACCAAAAATCATTTTTATAAGAGCGTCGTCCGTCTTACCATACTTGATTAGGTTTTACCATTTTATACCACTACACCAGCTAAAAGATTTTCCACATCAAAAACTTTTTTGTATAGTTTCACATTAAATGCTCATTTTAAAACACGTTTATAGTTTTTAAATCGTAATGGAATGATACAAATTGTTATAGTGCGTTAATTTATTTATTTCCACATAAGTATTCAAGCATACAATAAAATAATATGATTGCAATACTTTAAATGTAAAAGTTCACAAAATTTTCTAGGTTTATATATTAAGGTTACAACATAAAGATAACATTGTAAGGGTCTTCATAGTTAATACTATTTTTAAAGAGAACACAAGAATAAATGACTATTTAGTATAAATTACTGTTAAATTTTCATTAAAAACACACTTTTTTAAAAAAATAAGTACTGGTAGGTACTTTGAAATAAAAACAATAACCATGATAGGTTTGACGAAGACATTAATAATTTATTATTTAATCTACTCTGCCTCTAAATACATCGAAAACTACTTTACTCACAACTATAGATGCATAACATTTAGCATTAAAACTGAAAACTAAATTAGAGGAATTGCACCGACTAAATAATTTCTTTGGCATAAAAATTGTAGGAAAGAATAATTACCGTACATGGTACACCGAGAACCATAAAATACAGTAAATACTCGATAATATAAACAGTAATATGTATATTAATTATGATAGACCGCTGTATACCGTGAACATGCTAAAACATCATTCCTAGAAACCAAATGTCTATTGGCCTTAAAAACCGATATTTATATGTAATAATTATTTTGCTAATTATAGACACATATCTACATACTTATTACGTTTAACATTCGTTAACTTGAAAAATTCGGTAAAGTAAACAGCTGTTGTTTTATTCTGTTCACACTATCGAGTACTTACTATATACTATACAACCCTAATATTGAAGAATTCATACCTCACCTATATACTCACATACATTTCCATTAAAAAGATGACTTAAAAACTATTTAAATAGGAGACAAAAACACAATACCACGAAGTTATTTTTATCTACATTAATTAAATTAAAAATGCCTCTTATCACCACTTATTTATAATTACTTTCTTAACATTATAAATAGATATAATTATGATTATATGAGAATAGGGCGTGCCTTTTATTATTTAAATATACTATATTTCCCATAAAAGAAGTAAAATGTTTTATATTTTAACTAATTGCATCTATTTATGTTTCCACGATTTATGGCATCTTACACAGTGTAATAATAATTATCAATTATTAAAAGTAATTACCGTTGTATCACAGAAAATAATAGAATAGAAATTACATTCAATTCCTTCCAAAAAATAATAAGTCATTAAGTAGACATTCGAACAACAATTCTATTTAGACGCTAGTTTCCATTTAGTTAATTTTATTTACTTAAAAAATTATGTTGACTTAAAAAGTATTCAGGACAACACAGAAATTTGATTTAAAAAACACATTGAAAAAATATTCATAGTTGTATATCTTCTATTAAATTTCAATTAAAAATCTGTAATGCGAAATTTCAAAATAATATAAACAATAAACGATAATTGTGCAGGTTAGATTAGATTAGATCTTTTACGACTCCAACCCTCCACCCTCACTTAATATTCCACAAAGTCATCCCTAGGCTCTCCTATTTACTATATCTATTACTATCTATTTACTTCCCTATGACCGACGGTCCCCTCAACATTTCCAATTTATATCTCCACCCTTTACAGCTTCACGAATACCCCCCCCTCCAACTAAAAGCTCATCTACCTTCACCTCTCAATCCGAGATGAGGTCCTATAATCTGCACAATTACCAAATACTTTTTATGCTGGACCATTACACTACTTTCAATATATCGACACCCTGTATGTACGCAGGTCCCTAACAAGATTTAAAACAATTACCATTGATCCAACACCTCTGCAAATACTCTCACAAATATTCTAAAAGGATTTCATTTGTATTCTAGTAATATATGTGATAATTTTTGAAAAATTACAAACGATCTGCTAATTTTATTACTTCTACATAATATAAAATTAATTAACATTTTAAAACCAAATCGTTTGACTTTTGACATATTATATGTATAAAACCTCTTTAAAATTCATTTTACTCATTAAAATGTACTAAAAAAATAATTACACTTTAATTAAAAAAAACCTTAGAACATTTTTTTTAATTTTTAAAAAGCAAAGAAATAATAATTTTTTTTGACCTACTAATTTCTAACCTGCATTTGTTAATAATCTAAAAAGTTGCTAATATTTAGTTTCACCCACATATAATATTTCTAATTTGTCATATTCCAAATGAAAAGCATTACATGAGCAAATATGCCTGTATTATATCTTAAATTTGTTGTTTGGTTAAAAAAGCAGTCAAATATTCGAGTAACAATTAAATAAATATGTAAAAAATAAAAAAATACGATCATGTATACAAAAAAGGTAAAATATAAATTCATAAAAAATCAATTCCGCGTCCCCGCAAATAAACTAACCGCCTCAATAAAAAAAATCCCTTGATAACGTAACTGGTAAAAAATACCAAAAATAAATATGTCATTTAACTAGCACAATCTATGGCACAGATTCGTTTTGAATTAAATGTTTAGACAACGATATCTTCGATAGGTTGCAAGACGTTTCTGTCTTGTAACGTCTCCTTCAACATCTGATAAAGAAGTAGCTGTTGCTCGGGTTTCAGGTACAATATCTGATGCATCAATTTATGCGGACTATCGTGTTGAATAAAACTTGTAAAGTACACATTAACGAATGTTGCCATCAGAAACTGGCAATCGAACCTGTCCATTATACCACCGTGACCTGGTATAACGTCTCCAAAATCCTATTTTGATTAAAATTTCTTTAAATAATGTCCAAGAAACTCAAGTCATTTATTAAAAGTCGATTATAAATACAATCTTACCTTTATTTTAAAAGCCCTCTTAAATCCGCTGGCAAAGAAGCCACCAAAGGGTCCAATGACGCTACTGAAAATCGATAAGGGCAAAGAATGCAGTACAAAAGGGTACAAGTAAATGGAATTACTGAAACCAAACTGAAAAGAAAAGAAAAAACAAAATAAATATAGTCATCAAAAATAATTCAAAATAGAATAAAAAACTCACTAATTTCAATACACCAGATAAAAACGTTGGTACTTCATACTCTGTAAGTGTAAATAGGGGTCCTGGAGTACACTCCATTGTCATACGTCCCTCGTTATCGCTCCATTGTATTGGGCATACGAAATACGGATATTTGCAAAGTATATGCGAGATCTTAAAATAATAAATTATAAATATCATATCCCAAAATAGACTTTTAAATAGGTACCAAAAAACCAAAAACAACGGTCGACACTCCTCCTCCAATAAATCCCTCCCAAGTTTTTTTCGGACTGAGTTTAATAAGCGGTGTTTTTCCGAAGAAGAACCCAAACACATATGCCATGATATCATTGCAAATTATCATTGAAACTGGCACAATGAACCATATCAAACCCTCAAAAATGTTCTTAATGATTAAATAAGATTGTAGCACGACAATTAATAATGCAACATGGGTCCATGCAAACAGGGAAAATTGTTTAATATAATACTTTTTAACGAGGCTAAGAACAAACCACACAAATCCTCCACAATAAAGTGAAAAGGAGATGAACCTGTGGTAGGTTGTCAGGAATCGTAGGAAATCCTGCAAATGTTTTTATTTTAATTTCCTATTTGATCAGTATTCAAATTACATCAGACTTACAGTCCTGTTAATAGCTAAAGCAAAATAATCCATTAAGCTTTCTCCATAAAAGAAATAATTTGATGTAACTAAAAAGTACCAAGACAAAGATCTAAACCATGGAAGTCCATGAATGCGGTAGACAGCATGTCCAATGTTAATTATTTCAGCAAAACATTTTACTTGTACTATCAGTGTCTGAAATAAACAACAGTAGCTAATTGATATATATTACAAACAAGGGCATTTCTTAAAGATGTTATGTACTTACTGAAAATTGCTGTATATCATTATAACTGGTTGATAATCACATAATAACACATAATTATCAAATAAAACAGGTTTTAGCTAGTAACAAGTAACATAAGATTGTAAAGGTTTGTAGAAAGGTACAACAGTATGAATATGAAAAAATATCTTTTATACAAAGGCCATTGATAATATAGACTTTAGACCTATGCATTTAAGTATGAATTATACATTTATTTTTAAGAACGTAGTACCTGACAGTTTTGTGTTTTATAGAATTAACTTACTGTTATCATTAAAGCTAATGGGCCTCCGTATATAACTATACCAAAGAAGAAAATCATCAAAATTGTAAAAATACCCCTCACAAACCAATTTTTCCATCTGTCTGGCAAACCTTTCATCAAAAGTTCCAATATTAAGGGGGCTTTATTTGTACCACTGGGGATGGTATCAGATAGATTTGTAGATATTTTTGGATCCAAATGTTTATCATCTTCACTGTCAATCTGAAAAAGAAACACATTTAAATTAAAAACTACAATATAAGATTAATAAATGATTAGTTAAGTCCAGTAAAAGAAAAAATATTTAATAATGGCATATTGTATTAAAAACGTTGAAACCCCTGAACTTTATTGTACTGTGGAAAATTGTTTATTTATAAACGTTTAATATAAACTAAACAAAGCTAATTTTAACTTACATGATCACTTTCTGCTGATTCTATACGTTTATCTTCTGTTTCGTGGCGTTTTCGTAATTCTGCCATTTTTTGTATTTATTATGAGATTCTGAAACCTCTAAATTGTACGGATTATTTCAAATCATAATTAACTTACACACAAGAAAAAAACACGTCAAGAAAGTAACAATTTCACTGTTCTACTCAATTTGTATAAACAATCAATAAAACTGAAGTTTCAGCTGTGACGTGAGGAATTTATTAGAGGTTAAGTAAGAAATACAAACATCTGACAGCTGAAAATCTACAATTCAATTTTCGAAAAATAATAATTTAAATTCGCTTTTTTCAAAAATGGAAACAAATTTCACAAGTTTAGTAGTTAAAATCACAATAGCTTACCTTTAATATTAGTAAACTACTGAATATAAATTTCATTAAAAGATTTATTCAGTAGTTTACAGATAAACCACAAATTACAGAACTTAGATATTGTTTTTGTTACTTGCAATGTAATGAATGTGTAATGTTTGTTTGGAATCCCAAATGGCTTTCTGGTTTTATTTTTGTAATTTTATATAATATGTGTACTTTATGATATTCAATAAAACAATAAACTCTTACTCAAGAATTTATTGAAACTTTTGTAGTCAACAACATTTTAAAACAACTTCTTTTGTTAGGTAACTTTTGTTAATAACTTACTTTAGGTAAATTATTTATACCACTATCACCGCGGTGCAGTTAAAATATAAATACTCTTGAAGAACGGTAATAAAAGCTGTATGTCTTTGTACTCACAAATAGTATTTTTTTACTTATGTAAAAAACAAATTCTTTTATAATTTTAATACACGCTCATAAGGTATAATAGCTAAGTGAACCATTAATTGACTTTTCCCTGTTAGTTAAATACTTTATTAACTAGTATAAAATTAAGATACCGTAATTAAAACTTTCATAGTTGATAACTTCATGAATAATATAATAACAAATGTATTAAAATGTTTGTTAAATAATCATAGTAATAACATTAAACAGGATATGCGACTTCTTTAAAAGGCTTTTAGTAATTGACTTTTAAATAAATTTCGTTGCTTATAAAAATGTAAAGTTATCACAGAGTTATTTACGATTGCGCTTTTTAAAACTACAATTTAAAGCGTTTGACTTGATTGGCTTTTAGAAAAATTAATTCGGGTCATTAAAGTATTAGGTAAACCACATTTTAGTAATTTACACCAACTCCCTATTTCAGATTCATTATATATGTAACAATGTTTTATTGCAAATGCATAAGAAACCAAAAAACATTCTCAGTCACTTTTGTTTCCTATTCTCCCATACCCTTAAACGTGCATACGTTATACTTAAATGACCCCTTTATGAAAATAAATGTAGACAATAAAGAATGCATGTAAGGTAGTGGCCTAAGATTATTTCCGCGTCGGTGAGAGCACTAATGCAGTGTTTATTCGACTACTGCGGTTGACACCCTTAGATAATGTAGCGACGGCGAAAAATTCTAGGCTGTGGTTACTCTGAGTCTCAGTACAACCATAGCAAAGGACTACTTTCCTTGAGAATACCAAATGTTTACCATGGTGTTTTCACCGACAGAAAAACAATCCTAGACCACGACCGTCAAGCCCGAATCTCAAGCATTATTCAGATAATGCCAGCCGTGAAAGCCTAACTACCTTTAGGTATTTAGATAAAACTGAAAATATTGTAGCTTGCCTAAAGTAGATGTTTGTTTTGGAGAGATTCCTGCAACATTCGGTACAACTGTAGCTGTTGCTCTGCATTTAAGTTATGAATTTGGTGAAACATCTTTTGTACAGTATCATGATTTAGGAATGTTTTGAAATAAACGTTTACAAAAAGGGCCATTAATAGCATACAATCCAAACGATCCATTATACCACCGTGACCAGGAATTGCATCGCCGAAATCCTAAAAAACATTAATAACTAACTATTTTATTTCTTGTTAAGTACGAGGGTGGATTGATAAGTTTCCGGCCTAACCAAGAGATGACGCCACTAGGCCTACCTTGAGGTGACATTCTATAGTACCATCCTTGGATAGCTTGTAGCTATAGTTTCAGCCCGATCTCCTTGCTAGTGTAGGTTTGACAGCACGCTGAACAAGACGCCTCTGTGGTTTTCGTAAAAATGGAAAAGCAGGAAAATCGT